GTGATCCGCCCGCCTCGGCCTCCCAAAGTGCTGGGATTACAGGCATGAGCCACCATGCCTGGCCCCAAAAATTTTTTCACAAAAATTAGCAGGGCAAGGTGGTGGTATACACCTGGTCCCAACTACTTGGGAGGCTGAGACAGGAGGATAGCTTGGGCCCAGGAGGTAGAGGCTGCAGTGAGCTATGATTGTGCCACTGCACTCCAACCTGGGCAACAGAGCAAGACCTCCATGTCTAAATAAAAATACCCAGGCAATGGCACCAGAAAGCAAGGAAGAAGCCACGTGGAAGCCCTCCTGGTGCTTCTTCAGGGAGGCCAGCAGAGAGCACCTGGGGCCAGGAGGCGGCATGCCTGGGTTTCTGCTCCTCCTCACTGTAACTTTCAGCCAAGTCAAACTTCTAGAGTTTCAGTTTCTTTATCTGTGAAATGACAGGGCTGGCACAGATGGTTTCTAAGATCCCTCCCAGGCCTGGAACTTCTAAGCCATTAGGTCAAAGATGAGCTAACTGTGCTGGGCGCGGTGGCTCATGCCTGTGAATCCCAGGACTTTGGGAGACTGAGGCAGGTGGATCACTTGAGGTCAGGAGTTCAAGACCAGCCTGGCCAACGTCATGAAACTCCATCTCTACTGAAAATAGGAAAGTTAGCTGGGCATGGTGGTGCGTGCCTGTAATCACAGCTACTAGGGAGGCTGAGGCAGGAGAATCACCTGAACCTGGGAGGTGAAGGTTTCAGGGAGCCAAGATTGTGCCACTGCACTCTAGCCTGGGCAACAGAATGAGACTCCGTCTCAAAAAAAAAAACAAAAAAAAAAGGTGCGCAAACCGAGGCCCAAGACAGTTAAGGTACAAGATCACATGGTTAGTCGGTGGGAGAGCCAGGGTTTGAACAGTCTGGCATCAGCTGACCAGGAACTGGAGCCCACCCTTCTTTCTCCCTGAACCCGCCTGCCTGCCCACCCTCCTGAGTGCCAAATTTATTAATATGGAAGGGAGAAGAGCTTTAATGATTGGAGTCATTTTCAGAGCATTAAAGCTGTTCTCCCTTCCATATTAATGTGTTTCTCAGCTACTAGGCTCACTCACAGCACCACTGGCCCCAAAGCAGTTGACAGTCAGTGATAATTAAATTGTCTCTCTGGTTCTGTGACTGAAGGAGACGGAAGGCTTTATGGTGGCCTGAGAAAAGCAGGTGATTTGGGGCTTGGCACTTCAGGAGAGGGCAGGTGAGTGAGCCAGGGAAGCTGGCCTGGGAGGCCTACAGGTCACCCCCTTGCCTCCCGGCCTGGTGCTTGAGTGGCAGACGGTGAATTCTTCTCCTCCTCCCTCCCCCACCTCGTGTCAGAGGCCAGAGCTCGGGCTCCATCTAATGGTCTCTGGTTCAACTGGGTATTTGGTGAAAAGGGCCTCGGGGCTGGAGACATCCACTTTTATAACACACCGGCATGGGAAGGCACGTTCTGAGTTGTAATGACAGAGCTAGGCAGGTCTTGTCTGTAGATGCAGTGGCTTTAAGGAAACTAGGACGAGGGGCAGGATTTTCTTAGGTGCCAGGAGAAAGGGGCGATAGAGGATTGTAGAGACCACGCGTGAGAGAGCCAGTGTGCAGTGGTTTCACTCTGATTTGCTTCTTCCCGTGAATATGGTTGGTAGCTCCTGAGGCCGGGAGTCAGGAACATGGAGGCGGTGCTGGGGAGGGTTTCTTTTCTAACCACACTCCTTTTGTAACCACAAAGGAAAAAGGCAGAACGTTCCTCCGCTGGCGCCAGCCAATCAGCAGGACTCCTGCCTTCCTTCGGGGCAAGGTCGCAGCATCTGCCTCGGAAATCACGGGGCTGCTTCCTGCTGGCTCAGCTTGGAGGCCCAGCGTGTTCTGCAGAGTCTGCGTAGTGAAGGCCGTTCTCTGAAGCTCCTGCCCCAGGTCAGGCCACCAGTTCCACATGAATCCGGAGTGGGGGCAGGCCTTCATGCACGTGGCCGTGGCCGGCGGCCTCTGTGCTGTGGCCGTGTTCACAGGCATTTTTGACAGCGTCTCCGTGCAAGTGGGCTATGAGGACTACGCCGAGGCGCCGGTGGCTGGTCTCCCTGCCTTCCTGGCCATGCCGTTCAACTCACTGGTGAATGTGGCCTACACGCTACTAGGGCTATTCTGGCTGCACAGGGGCGGCGCGGTGGGGCCGGGTCCCCGCTACCTGAAGGATGTGTTCGCAGCCATGGCCCTGCTCTACGGCCCCGTGCAGTGGCTGCGCCTGTGGACGCAGTGGCGCCGCACCGCCGTGCTGGACCAGTGGCTCACCCTGCCCATCTTTGCGTGGCCTGTCGCATGGTGCCTCTACCTAGACCACGGCTGGCGGCCCTGGCTGTTCCTCTCCCTTGAGTGCATCTCCCTGGCCAGTTACGGCCTCGCTCTGCTGCATCCCCGGGGCTTCGAGGTCGCACTGGGTGCTCACGTGGTGGCCGCTGTGGGGCAGGCGCTGCGCACCCACAGGCGCTATGGCAGCACCACCTCGGCCACCTACTTAGCTTTGGGGGTGCTCTCTTGCCTGGGCTTTGTGGTCCTCAAGCTGTGTGACCATCAGCTCGCACGGTGGCATCTCTTCCAGCGCCTCACAGGCCACTTCTGGTCCAAGGTCTGTGACGTGCTCCAGTTCCACTTTGCGTTTTTGTTTCTGACGCATTTCAATACTCACCCAAGATTCTGTCCCTCTGGCGGGAAGACGCATTGAACTGTGGGAAGAACCTGCTGAAAACCGACGACCCCCAGCATTGAAACAGACTCTGAGATGGTGCCAGTGTTGGGCATCCTACGTGTGATGATACGCACTGATCACACAGCACTGCCCTTTCCTGAGAAGCTACGGGCTTTGGTGTGGAGGGATGGAGTGCTGTGATCTCGACAACTTACTTTCAAAGACATAAAGCAAAGATCTTGGCACAAGGGGTGTGGGTGTTCCTGATGTAATTCTCATAACTTTCCTGTAGTTTGAAATGTTTCCAAATAAATATTGGCAAGGGGAGTGGAAACGACACCAAGAAGCCCCTTGTGCTCATGGTTGGACAGAGAGCGATCGTCTGGAGTATCTTTGGGGTGTCAGCTGTGGATGTGGACTGGCAGCAGCGAGGCAGGCCAGTCAGTGGGGTACCAGTGAGTGTCCTTAGAGGTGGCTGGATTCAGGGAGACTGAGCCACACTAAATACGTGCCCAGCAGACTGACGGGGAAATCACTTAATTACCTCCATGACATCTGTGACTGTTAACTGTAGGCAGGTCACGTGAGAGCCACATCACCTCAGATCATCTGTGGAACCAGGCAGGGTGTGTCCAGATGAGGAAACACACAAATGTCAAAAGTTGAACTCTCAACAGAAAGTTGCTTTGTGGGTCTCCCCTTGGAGCCGGGGTGTGGCTTAGATGTCCTTAGTGGCTACAGTCTGAGCAGTCCCCATGTGCCCGTCACCCAGATCCTTGTGAACTGATCTGCTGACAGTATCGCCAGGCAGGGTGCTGGAGGTGGCACGTGCTTCTCATGCAACAGTTTTTGAGCCCTCGAGCCCAAGGCCCAGACTCTAGTTTGTGGTCAGGATGCTGGGTCATCCTTGGCTGCAGCCAGAGAAGCACTGAGGACTCCATGCCACCCTCTCTACTCCCAGGGCAGTCCTTCTTCCTGCTGGTCACTATGTTACTTAGAGGCGTGCCTCACCTCCTTTCATCTGAAGGCATCTGGTCTGTAAAGGGGACTTCCTTTTTTCGAGACAGAGTCTTGCTCTGTTACCCAGGCTGGAGTGCAGTGGTGTGATATTGGCTCACTGCAACCTCTGCCCCCTGGGTTCAAGCAATTTTTCTACCTCAGCTGCCCGAGTAGCTGGGATTACAGGCACCTACCACCATGCCCGGCTAATTTTTGTATTTTTGGTAGAGACGGGGTTTCATCATGTTGGCCAGGCTGGTCTCTAACTCCTGACCTCAGGTGATCCACCTGCCTTGGCCTCCCAGTACTGGGATTACAGGCATGAGCCCCTGCGCCTGGCCTGTAAAGGGGACTCCTGAAGAAAGCTAATGTCATTTAACTCATGGGCTCTTCATCCCAGACTCCATAGTCTTGTCCCTGGAGCCTTAAGTACTGAGGAGGGTCTGCTTTAATCCCACAAATTAAATGGAGAAGTGATCAGCTCCAGAGGTGAGGGCAGAGGAGAGAGGATGCCCTATCCCTGCCAAATGGCATCTCAGCATGGGCCACCCATGTGCACCTGCTCAGTGCCCTCAAGGTTGGCATTTGGCCCATGGCTGCAATGACTGAGCTGTTTCTGGAACTGGGCACCTGGGCTGGATGTTCTGTCCTGGCTGGCTGACCACATCGCCACCAGTTAAGGACCTGGGGCAAATGGCAGGGCCTGACCCAGGGCTTGGGGCCTGGGGGCGGGGCATGTGGTTGGCAGGGGAGAGCAAGGACAGCACCTGCTTGGAAAAAAGCCTGGTTCCATTTGAGGTTGTCTCGAAAGCACCACGTGCCCTAGAAGAGGGAAGAGGCTGCACACATCACCAGAGAGGCCACCCTTACTTCACAGAGGCTGGAGGGAGGGCGAAGAGAAGGCGGGCTTCCATGAGGGCTCAGAGACAGGGTGGGGACAGGCTCTTCATCCAGCAGTGTGGGAACCCCCTTTTGTTCATGCCACATCTCGCAGCTACAAGCACTCATCACGATTTTACTTTTTCTTCCTACCAATACCTGTGCAATAAACAGCCCTGGGAGCCTCCTGGGTCAGGTGGGGTCCCACAGGAAACAGGTGGTGTACCTAGATTGGGGTGATTCAGGGCGGTTTTGTGGAACCCCTGGAAGAGTGGACCCCACCCAAAGGAGAGGCTTATGTGGAGGGGACACCTCCAGAGAGGCAGAGACTGCAGGAAGCCTGGCTCCGCTGTCCCCTCTCTTGCCAGGTGCCACCCAGAGTCGCCAGGTTATACACCAGGCGATGAACAATGGTTTTGCACAAGTGTGTCTCAAAAGTTGCACGAGACATTTCTCCTACTAAAAAAAGTATTGTTTACCTGAAATTCAGATGTAACTGGGCATTCTGTTTGTTATTTGCTAAATCCAACAAGCATGCACTGAGCCAGCCCAAGCAGAGCCAGAAGCCCCAGAACCTGTGCAAGGCAGAGCAGGTGGCCAGGAAGGCTCCAGGCAGGCCCCGGCCTGGAACCTGCATTCCCCAGGCCCTTTTTTAAATTAGTGTTTCTCAAAGTGTGGCCAGCTGCCATTAGTCACACAGCTTCCTGCATCCCTTCCTGCCCAGGCGAACCCCCTTTCTGGGACCGGGACCTCAGAATACCTCAGCCCTGGCCCGGGGTTTGCAAGTGCCAGCGACCCCTGAGCCACCGGAGGAAGGAGGCTGGCGGCTGTGCCTCCCTCCAGCTCTGCAGCCCACAGAGGAGCTCGGCCTCGCCCAGGGGGACTGGCTGTCAGGGCAGCCGTTGTTGTTACTGGTCTTGGTCTCAGTGTCGCTGCTCCACCGTGTCCCCACCACAGCTGGGGAGCCAATGGTTGCCAGATGGGGCCTCTCCCCCACCTTTGACCTAACGGTTTAGAAGTTCCAGGCCTGGGAGGGATCTTAGAAACCATCTGTGCCAGCCCCGTCATTTCACAGATAAAGAAACTCTAGAAGTTTGACTTGGCTGAAAGTTACAGTGAGGAGGAGCAGAAACCCAGGCATGCCGCCTCCTGGCCCCAGGTGCTCTCTGCTCACCTCCCTGAAGAAGCACCAGGAGGGCTTCCACGTGGCTTCTTCCTTGCTTTCTGGTGCCATGGCCTGGGTATTTTCTCTCCATATAAAATAGTTTTAGGGCTGGGTGTGGTGGCTCACGCCTGTAATCCCAGCACTTTGGGAGGCCAAGGTGGGTAGATCATCTGAGGTCAGAAGTTTGAGACCAGCCTGGCCAACATACTGAAACCCCATCTCTACTAAAAATACAAAAAAAATTAGCCAGGCGTGGTGGCGGGTGCCTGTAGTCCCAGCTACTTGGGAGGCTGAGACAGGAGAATCGCTTGAACCCAGGAGGTGGAGGTTGCAGTGAGCTGAGATCGTGCCATTGCACTCTAGCCTGGGCAACAAGAGTGAAACTCCATGTCAAAAGCAACAACAACAACAAAAATAGTTTTAGGCCAGGCGCAGTGGCTCATGCCTGCAATCCCAGCACTTTGGGAGGCCAAGAAGGAAGGATTGCTTGACCTCAGGAGTTTGAGACCACCCTGGACAACATAGGGAGACCTCATCTCTACCAAAAATAAAAAAAATTAGCTGGGCATGATGGTGCGTATTTGCAGTCTCCGCTACTCAGGAAGCTGAGGTGGGGAGGATCGCTTGAACCCAGGAAATCCAGGCTGCAGTGACACAGTTAGCTGTAATGAGATGGCATCACTGCACTCCAGCCTGGGTGACAGAGCAAGACCCCATCTCAAAAAAAAAAAATTACAGCATAGGGCACACACTGTCATGCATTCACTTTTCTGGGCCCCATTTTGGCTTGGTGACATGCCAAGGTCTGCCAGAAACTGCACACACCGGCCTCTGCACCCTGGAGCAGGCCCGTTTCCAGTTAGGTCCCAGGAGTGGGATTGTAGGGCTGAAGGGAACTTCAGTTTGAAATCCCTGGAGTGCTTTTCCCAGTGGTGTTCATGATTCACAGTTCTACCAGCAATGTCAGAGTGGGTGCTGTTTCGTGGCGTGCCAATCTGATGGGGGCGACGTGAGATTTCATTGTGACTAACTCAGACCCCCTCCCCTCTCTCTGACCCCCCCAAAAGTAATGTGTGTGCATTTTTGAGACAGGGTCTCCCTGTGTCTCCCAGGCTGGAGTGCAGTGGCGCAATCATGGCTCACTGCAGCCTTCAACTCCCAGGCTCAAGAGATCCTCCCACCTCAGCCTCCCAAGTAACTGGGACCTGGCTAATTCTTTTGTTTTTGTTTTTGTTTTTGTTTTTGTTTAGACGGAGTTTTGCTCTTGTTGCCCAGGCTGAAGTGCAATGGCGCAATCTCGGCTCACTGCAACCTCCGCCTCCCGAGTTCAAGCAATTCTCCTGGGTCAGCCTCCCGAGTAGCTGGGATTACGGGCATGCGCTACCATGCCTGACTAATTTTTGTATTTGTAGTAGAGACGGGGTTTCTCCATGTTGGTCAGGCTGGTCTTGAACTCCCGACCTCGGGGATCTGCCCGCCTCGGCCTCCCAAAGTGCTGGGATTACAGGCGTGAGCCACCGCGCCCAGCCTCCCTGGTTAATTCTTTAAAAAAAAAAATTTCCTTTTTTTTTTGAAATGGAGTCTCGCTCTGTCGCCCAGGCTGGAGTGCAATGGCGTGATCTTGGCTCACTGCAACCTCCACCTCCCAGGTTCAAGCAATTCTCCTGCCTCAGCCTCCCAAGTAGCTGGCATTACAGCTAAAATTAGCCCGGCTAATGTTTTTTTTTTTTTTTTTTTGAGACGG